CTGTGGGTGCGGACAGCGCTGTCCTGCGATCTGTCCGTAGCCCCACCTCGGTCAGGGCGCCGTGCAAGCTGCTTCCCACTTGGGGGAAACCGGGGCGGGGCCCCGGCGGAGAGATGGTGGAAGGTCTGGGGTGGCGAGAAGGAGAGGTGTTCGGGGTCCGAATGCCGGTGGGAAGGAGCTGGTCCCAGACCCTCTCCTCTGGCCACGGAGGCACCCCGAGGGCGCATCACGCCTCCTTCTCCTCGGGGATTGGCTCTGACTTCCCAGGGTCTTAGCCTCCGACTCACACCCACTGCCCAGACCCAACGATTCCACCTCCTCTCCCATGTCTGCCCACAGCCACCCTGAAGCTCCAGGGGTCCGTGGCTCAGCATCTGACCACCGCAGGCAGCCTGGAGTCCGAGGGTGAGTGGTCAGCAGCTGTGGAAGGTGTGCTGGGGCAGGAGGAGAGGCAAGTCCGTGGGGAGGGTTCCTTTCCCATAAGGCAGGCCCCCAAGCTGGCCACCTCACAGGGGGTGAGAAGACCCCAGAAAAAGGGGGATGCGGAAACTCCTGCCAGTCTGGGAAGGGCTGTGCGCGTGGAGGGCACCAGCATTGTCCCTCAGCCAGAAGGGTCTTGTTTGGGAAACGTTCTGAGGCTGTCCGGGCAGTGCCTCCGTTTAAAGACAAGGACAGGGACTCCTGAATGGAAGGACCTGGACCAGAGGGCTGGGAGGGAAGGGCGGGGGGTGGTCACTGTGCAGTCTTAGTGCCCACAGGGAAAATGGAGATGTACGATAAGAGCATTTCAAGTTGCTGGGAAGGCTACCAGGATGTTATGGAGGATATCAAAGAAGACTGGTGCGACTGGGCCATCATTAGCAGGTAGGGGCCAGGCTGGAGGGTGGTTTGGGCCAGGGGTGGGCGCCCTGCTCCTTGTGGGGGGGCCTTGAGAAAATGCGGGGCACTCCTCTCTGTGGGCCCAATCCCTCCCTCACGCTAGTCCTCTTCTGCCCGCAGGCCTTACAGCGACCTGCAGGAATGCTTGGAAATAGAAGCGGAACGCTTTGGCCTGGGCTTCCCCAATCCCTCGGCGGAACAGATCATCTTTAAGACTCACCAGACCCACTTTGCCAACTGCACCCTGGCGGAGACCACCTTCTCAGACCCCCCGGAGGATGTGCTCCTGGCCATGATCATAGCCCCCATCTGCCTCATCCCGTTCCTGGTCACCCTTGTGGTGTGGAAGAGTAAAGACAGCGAAGCCCGGGCCTAGGGTGGCATAAGTTTCTCAGCAGCCACCCCTCCCTTCCCTGCCACCCCCAGGTCTCCCTCCCCGTCTCCCTGCCCCCTTCTCTCGCCTCACTGCACACAGAGCCTGAGATTGGGGGAATGGAGCTGGGTAGGGTCATGGCACCAGTTCTGCAATTTTCAAAATAAAAGGTTTCTTTTGTACACCGTCCTCCTCCCTATCCCAGTGGGGCCTGTGTCCCTCACAGAACCTGTCATGTCCACAGGCCCCCAGCTCTGGGCAACAGAGCCGCAAGAATCTGATAGCCCCACTGTTTTGTTTACTTACCGGCCCCCACAGGCCTCCGCCGGCACCCCCCCTCCCCACCACCACCTGAAGGCTCCACTCCTACATTCCTCCCTCCCAAGGTGGAGCCTTTCCTGCCCCTATCCAAACCCAGCTGCAGGAAGCCTGCAGGAAAAGACTCCCTTCCGGTCTGGACAGCCGCTGGGGAGGTGTGGGGGGAGGGGCGAGGGAGGACTCTGGGCTGTGACTCCTACCAGAAGGAAGGGGGGCCAACCAGGAGTTCCGAATTTTCCCCTTTCATGTTTCAGTTCACTTCTAGAGACTTCGAACAGGAACTGTGATCTGACTAACTGGAGTCCACCCCTAAGGACCTCAGTCAGGATTGAGGGTAAAGGCAATGGGAGGATCTAGGTTCACCACAGGACTCCCCCTTCAGGTCCCTGGCCCTCATCCTACATGGTCCTGGACCCCGGGGGTGTGGCCTACAGCCTGGCTGCACACTGCCCCCTGGTGTCCACTAAACCAAAAAGCAGAAGATGGATGTGTGGTGGAAGAAGCTCAAAACAGGAGATTGGACCCTGAGGTCAGAGACCTGTCATCTCCATAGCAAACACTAGTTCTACCGGCTTCCTGAGTCAGACTTGGGCTCCGTTAAGACACTTTCCTACTGTCGACATAAGAAATGTCCAAACCTGTGGAGAATTTTAAAAAGAGTTTCTTTGAGGGGTGGTGGGGCTGGTTGGAGGTGGGCAAGAGGGGAGAAATGGGGGACATCTGTAATAGTGTGAACAATAAAAAATAAAGTTTAGCCCTGGCTGGTTTGGCTCAGTGGGTAGAGTGTCGGTCTGTGGATTGAAGGGTCCCGGGTTCGATTCCAGTCAAGGGCACATGCCCGAGTTGCAGGCTCGATCCCCGATGGGGGTGTGCGGGAGGATGATTCTCTCTCATCATTGATGTTTCCATCGCTCTCTCCCTCTCCCTTCCTCTCTGAAATCAATAAAAATGTATTTGAAAAAAAGATAAAATAAAAAATATATCTAAAAAATAAATAAATATAAAGTTTGATCAAGTTTATTTGAGCCAAAACTGACGGCATATACCAGCAGCAAGCTCTCAAATGCTCTGAAGAATAACAGTTTTGCAGTTTCTTTCATGCATTTGAAACTAAGGAGGGGATTTAAGGAAGATTATGTGAAGGTGGGAGACAGCAAGGTGAGGGTGGTTACATCTTAGAAGGAGGGGTTTGGAACGAGGCATTTTCAAAGGTGTGCTAACCTGGATGCACAAAAACAATGGGCCTGGCTTGCTTAAGGCAAGAAATTTATATGCCTAGGGTGTGACTACCCACCATGACCTCCCCAGTTAGGAATTTATGATTTATTACAGCATCGCTTTTTTATCCACACCACTTTCTGGGGACATATTTAGTCTCTGACTCAACATTTTGACATATGGACACTCTTGTAGGTCCCCTGGACAGTGAGGCGCAGTTCTCACCAGAGAACCTTCACCTCCAATTTTCCTTGGAACAAAGGTCATCAAAAATATCTAGAGAACAACTTTGCTTTCCATAAAGACACCTGTTTATTCCGTGTGGCACCTAAAGCCTCTTCAGGAACTTCCTTCACTCCTTGTTGAAATATCTGCCTCCCTGAGAATATACATATCCGTTTCCTAGACATGCCTGTCTATTCCATAGATACATACGTGTTTGCTTTCTGGAATGCATGTATTCATTCTCTGAGACACACTTCTCCTCTCAGGACGTATTTGTCTCTCTAGAGACACACCTGTTCCCTTGGACATTTTGAGTTTTCACCTGAGATAAATCTTTGCTGTTTTCATGAATGTATATGTCTCCTCCAAGGATATATCTATGCTTTTCTTGGCCCATATTTACCTTCATGCATTTTGCTAACATACATCAAAGGCATGTTGGTGTAAGACACTGTATGGTACATTGTTTTGAAAAAGGAAGTTAGCTAAGACTTGGTTTCTGCCCTCAATGGCCTTTATCTAGTAAGGGAGTGGACATGTGCAAATAAACAAAAACAATGGAGTGTGTGATGAAAGTCATGCAAAGAATACAAGCCAAATGTTTGTACGAGTGCAAAGGAAGGAAGGGTCACATCTAACAAAGGTGTGATCACAGGAGTTAAGATCACAGGAGGGTGATTGTAGAGTTGCTATATGAATTGACGGTAGGTGGAGTGCATTCCCCTAGAGGAGAGAGTAAAAAGGGAGATGAATTAGAAAACTATTGTAATAATACAGGCTTGAGAAAAATAGGACATGGACCAAAAGTGTGATGAATGGGGAAATGAAAAATAATTAAAAAGTAGGAGAGATGATTAAAAACAGGGGAGGGAATCAACAGGATTTGGATATGAAGTAGGTGACAGACAGAGAGACTAGAGCTGACTCAGGCTTTGAACCTGAGTTATTTGGACAATGATGGAAGTAAGAACAGAAAAGGGCCATTAACAGGAGTTAGCCTGAGGAAAAGGATATGCAATATGAGGTAACAATGGAACAAGCTGTAATATCCCACAGAGAGTTAGAAATGGGAGTGGTGATGGTGGTGGTAGAAAGAGGGTGGAGCTGGAAACACAGGTTTAAGAGTATTCTGCACAGAAATGTCATATAAATCCATGAGAGGGATGAAAGTTTTAAGAGAAGGTGTATTGAAAAGAAGACTGAAGTTGGGTTCTTAGGAAACACCCATAATTAAAGAATGGGGGGGGGAGACAAAGGGAAAGATCAGAGAGACAGTAGCAGACCAAGGATAAAGCAGTGCCCTGGAAGCAAAGGAGATGGTGCCCTTTGAAAAAACAGTATCAATTGCAAAGTTCATTCGTTCATTCAACAAATATTTGTTGGGTACTTCTGTGAACTAGGAATTGTGCACAATGAAGAATGGATTTTGGTGGGGAAGATGTTAGAGATCAGACAAGAAATTGAGAGAGTGGCAAAGTCAAGGACACTACATATTTTAAAATATATATATATTTATTGATTTTAGAGAGGAAGGGGGAGAGAGAGAGAGAGAGAGAGAGAGAGAGAAGGAGAGGGAGATTGAGAGAGAAATATGAATGATGAGAGAGAATCATTGACTGGCTGCTTCCCACACGCCCCTTAATAGGGATTGAGCCTGAAACCTGGGCATATGCCCGACCAAGAATTAAACTGTGAGGGCACTTGGGCTGTTTCCAGATACTGGCTATTGTAAATAACACTGTAATGAACATAAGGGTGCATATATTCTTTCGGATTAGGACACAACATAGGGATGACTTCAGCATATTTGTAGACTAGCAGAGAGGAGGCAGGGGAAAGGAGATGAGGGAAGGTGATGCATAGAGAAGTCCTGGAGGAAGTTGGAAAGGAGAGGCAAGAAGATACGCCAAAGGATTGGCCTTGTAAAGGAAGAGCAGCACTTCTTCCTTTGAGTCCAAAAGGAAGGAGTAAAAGAGAAGACTTTTTGAGAGACAAATCAAGTGTGTTGACAGATGGAGAGGGAAAGATTAATAAGTTCACATTCACGGCTGCAATCTCATAAAATAGAGGGGAAGGACATTCTGCAGAGAGGAGGAAAACGGGGACAGGTGACATGGCTTGATGAGTGGACAACTTTGAAGAGTTACCTTGAGCGATGTGACAGGGAGTCATTAAAAGACAAAGGGTTGGGAGCATTTGAGAGCTTGTTCCCCACCATATGTTGTCGGTTTGGTTCAAATAAACTCTTATTTAAAAAAAAAATACAACCCTGACCAGCATGGCTCAGTTGGTTAGAACGTCATCCTGTACACCAAAAGGTGGTGGGTTAGGTTCCCGGTCAGGGCACACACCCAGGTTGCAGGTTCAATCCCTGGTTAGGGTGTAAACTGATCGATATTTCTCTCACAAATCAGTGTTTCTCTCTCTCTCTCTCTCTCTCTCTCTCTCTCTCCCTCCCTCCCTCCCTCCCTCTAAAATAAATAAAAATACAAAGGGCCACTGGGCTGCACTGAGAGTCCAGTCATGAGGTTAGTCATGGAATCTGGGTCTCAGTCAGCATGTTCTGGTGATTTTTTTTCTAGGCATACTCCCCTGCCAAGGAGTGACACAAAAAGGGGGTGTGGGTGGGCAGGGACCAACAATCTGGTTTGGAAACTGACCAGCAGGTAGGTAGACAAGGGGACAGAATTGAGTAGTCTCTTCTAGGTAAGGAGTCACGACCTAAAGGGCTCTGGAGCTTGAGACTAGGAAGGTGAGAACGGGAGAGAGATCAGAGATGGATGGCTGTGGTCAAGGATGGCTGCTCTGAACCATGGAAGCAGAGCCGTTTCCAGCTACAAACGTGTTCCCACGGGTGCACAGGAGACTGAGGAAAGGTAGAGTCAAAGGACATAGGAATCGAAGAGATTGGGAAATGTGAGGTTTTTAACTTAAATGGCATTTGACACAAATGTCATTATTGAAAGAAGCCCAGCATAGTGGACACAATCCTAGGCTGGGAGCTGGGGACCTGGGGTTCTGCTTGCAGTTCTGAGAACAAACTATGCTGCTGTGAGGAAGTCACTGCCCTTCTCTGGGGTTGAGCCAGGCTTCTCTCAGGGACCTTCTGCTCTAAACGGAAAGGATTTTTAGGATAATGGCAAGGGACTGGCAGAAGAGGAAGAGCCCTCCCTAGACTGCTCGTCTCCCCCAACAAGGGTCCGGAACCTTTCTGCTGCGCTTTCTGCCAGGACGTGCGGAAGCGGAGACCGGAAGTCCCTCGCCGGGAGGTTCCGGGTTTCCTGGGCTACTACGATGGCGATGAGTTTCGAGTGGCCGTGGCAGTATCGCTTCCCGCCTTTCTTTACGTGAGGCTCAGCCCCCGCGAAGCCCCGCCGTGCCTCCCTGCCCTCCCCTGGCCCTGGACTGAGCCCCGACCCTGCACC